AACAGGCAAATAAGGGATGATCTCACCTGCACATCAAGCTCCTGGCTTCGAGGATCTTGCAGAAAGAAGCGGAAAGCTTCCTCCCACACTGGGCTGTTGGTGCTGTAGACTGCCTGGAGGTAGGGAGGACAGAAGCTGTGTGGACACCAAGTACCCTTCCTTTCCCCTAGCCAACCCTTATATCTGAGACACTGTAAAGGGAGCCTTTGCCCCAGAAGTCTTCATCTTCCTCCTCCTCCTCTTCTATGAGGCCCCTCACCTTGCTCTCCTGGGTCACATCCTGAATTGACAGCTGTATCATGGGGTTGGGCTCCTTGTTCCCCTTCTTCAACTGTGGAGGCAGAAATCAGATGTTACTGTCTTATGTGTCTGGGTTTTGGCGAAGGAAAGCAGCGTGACACTGGAGTCTCCTCCCTGAGGTGGACCCTGCCCCCTCTTTGGAACCTTGCATTACATTTCTACTTCTGGAGGAAACCAGTCAGGGCTTCAGCCTGAAGCATGGGAAGGTATGCAGTGCTGCATCTGGGGGTCCCCCCCACGCCCCAGCCAAACTTACAGGAAGATCCTGGGCTCGGTCCAGGTAGACAACTAGGATGGCAGCTGAAGGAGGCTCTGGTTTCGAGGAGACGCCCCGGTTCCACTGTAGAACCTGGTAGGAGGCAGAGTGGTCCGACTTTGGTCCTCCCCACCCGTTGTACCTCCTACCCATGTGACTTACCTGCTCCAGTTTCTCTGCATCTGGCAAAAGTGACAGCCATTCTAGCCGTAAGTGAACTTGGCCTTGGCCACCTTGTAGAGGGAACCACTGAAGGGAGAAGCAGAAGTGAGGTCCAGTAGAGATCAGACACCCAGCCACCCATTTCCCTACACCAACGTGGCGGCTTCTGTCTGCCCAAAGGGGCAGTCACTCCCGCCATCCTCTTCTCCCGACTTACATCATCCAGTACTCCAGACTGTAGCACCTTCCCTACATCCAGCTTCATTCTGGGGTCAAGGAGGGCAGAGGGCAGTGAGAGGAGAAAAGGTTTACTGTCACTGGTCTGTGGCAGTGGCCCTCCACTCACCTACCCAGAAGTACCTCCAGAGCTCAGACCCCCTTCTCCCTAGACTCAGGAGATATGTGTGTGCACGCGCACACACGCACTAGCACAGGGGATGGGGAAGAAAAATGATGTAGGTTCCAAACTCAGAAAACAAGTACAGTTACCTCTGGGACCATGGTAGCATTGACACTTTGAATCAACACAGATGGGCTCACCTGCCCAGAAAGTCGTCTTTATCTGGGTCCTTGTCAAACACTTCCACCTCGATCTCCTGCCCGGGTACCTCATGTACTATCACCTGCAGCACACAGAGGGCTAAGGTCTCAGGGGCTGCAGCCGTGAGGCCTCAGCTATTTCCCAGCCTCGAGAGACCTCTTTATTTCCCTGGTTCTATTTCTGCTCTGCTTAATACCTCATAAGTCTCTCCCCACTGAGGGTTGAGCTCCTCGTTGATGACACGACTGCAGAATGTCTGGGTGCCCACACGCACAAGTGCATAGGGGTCCGACTTGCCCTCAATCAGGCCTTTCACGTATTTGTCCTTGGAACTCAGCCCACGAGCAGCCAGCAGGTGAATCCGAATAATGCCCTAAAGTTAGGAATCAGTGGGTGAGAAACGAGGGAGTCAGCAAGGGTTCTGGAGGAGCTACAGTGGAGAGGCATACCCGGGGCAGAGGTGAGCGCAACTGGGCCACATCGTGAAGGTCAGGCACGAGAGGCACCAACAGTCGATTGGGCAACACGAGGAAGGCAGCAATGGAATCCATGATCATGGTGTCAGAGAGAGAGCTGCATGGGGCGGGGGTGAAAAAGATATCGGCCCCAACTCCAGTTCTCCTCCAAACCCAACTGTTTCCTACTGCAAGACAGACCTATTGGGGCTGGTGAGATGGCTCAGTGGTCTAAAGCACCTACTTAGAACAAGCTTAGCAAAGCACAGGGACCGCGGTTCAATCCCCCAGCACCACATGCCAGCCAGCCCTGCCCCCTGGTGGGCTGAGCTGGCCACACACACACACACAAATAAAATAAATAAATTAAAAAAAAAAAAACAGACCTATAGCTTATAAGGAAGTTTTTCTTGGAAATCCTCTCAACCACTCTTCCACCCCAACTCCCCACCTACTTCATTATCATCCCCAGCTGCTTTTCCTGCCCTTTTGCCCCTGCTTGAGCAGTCTTCAGCCCTCTTTATTCCCTATTAAAGTGTATACTCCTCCTGCAGAAAAACCACAGTAGGAAACTCTTCTTTTATGGAAGAGGTCTTAGAAGACACAGGTGACATCTTTTACTGCTTTGGATCACTTTTACCCTCAGGTTAGGGCTGGAATACCTAGCAGGTGCTCAGTAAGTCCTTGATACCTAAGTCCTGGGATATCCAGCAGGTTGGTCATCCCTGTCCAGTTGATGTCTAGAGTCTAGAAGGAAAGTTGGAGAGGTCAGGACCGATGTTATGGGACATGGTCACCCATCCAGTGGTTGCCAAGCCCTTCAGCCTTTCGTCAATCCTTCTTGTCCACAGCTGCCTACTGTCACCATCCCAAATGTTTCCCCTTCTCCCTCAATCTTTTTTCTTACCGGGCGTCGGATGAAGAACATAGACACAGCCCCCACGATAGGAAGGTCTCCCATGAGTGGTTCAAGAATCACCCGCAAGATGCCATGTAGCTAGTGTAAGAAGAGAAGACCAGAGTGTTTCCCCAACCTTGACTTTTTCAACCTTCTACTTCCCTATATCCCATGAAACTTGGGGTGAAAACTCCCTATTTTGAGGTCCTCTGGCACCTGTCCTACCTGCATGCCCTTGACTCCTGCTTTGCAGAAGTATTTCTTTATTTCCACATCAATCTGCACATCACCTACATAGCTGGGAGTGAGAAAAATAATAAAGGTTTAGTTCTAGGCTGACATAGGGGACACGGGGCTTAGCCAGCAGTGACCAGGAACCCCCAAAGGGAAGCAGGAACAACGGTGAGTGGTGCTACCTGATGTTCAAGTCCAACAGGATCTGATCTTTTCTTTGGCTAGGGTGGACCTTGACTCCTATGATGCGCAATGGCTAGAGAAAGAGGAGATCCTGAGTGAGCCAGGAGGGAAGAGAAGAGCACCGCAGACCCCTCTGTGCTGCCCAACCTTCCAGGCCCAGACCTTTCCGCAATACCTTTTCTCCCAGTTCCACGCGTGTGAATGTAAATGTTTGCAGATGGGGGTTAGATCCCCGGACAGCTGGTGCCACTGTTTCAGCCAGAAGCTTCTCCATATACTGGCCCAAAAAGGGCCAGACCTGGGCTACAATCTGGGATTGAGGGAACATGGTCAGAGAAGATCCCAGTCTTTGCTCTGATGGGAAATTCCTTCAGATTCCTCCCTACAGGCAGCGCAGGGGACCAGGCTCAGCCTGGAATTGTGTAACAGGACCCACCAAGAAGAATAAATTCTCATTTTCCCCTTATGAAAGTCGGGTGTGGTGCTACACCTGTAATCCCAGCACTGGGGAGGATGAGGCAGGAAGATCGCTATGAGTTCAAGGTCTGCCTGGGCTACAAAGTGAGTCCAAGGCCAGCCTGAATTACATAGTGAAACCCTGTATCAAAAAGTCAAAAAGAAAAGAAAAACCTATCAGTTCTCACCTTGTTCAGCCATTCAGCTTTTTCCACATCTGGGAAGCTGACCTGTGGGGGTAAGTCAGACAGTGACCACAGGCACACCTTCTGCCTGAACTGCCACGGTGAAAGTGGGATGCCAGAGGACCGGGACTTCAACAGCTCTCCTCACCCGAGGAGGCTGGATGTCCTGAGGTTTCACTCCTCTGATGTTGGGGCACCAAGCTCTCTAATAAGGCCACACCAAGATGCTCTATGGATAGCTCAATGACAGCTGCTAGGCAGGGCAGGGGATGAGGGAGGCACATTCTTTGTTGGGGGCAGGTCCTGTCAAATCAGAGTTGAGGGGATCTTGGGATTGGAGAGATTCCCAGTTCCTTTGTCCAGACTTCCCTCCTCCCCTCACTGGACTGGGGTTGCAATGCCAGGAAGGTGAAGAACGCAAATCCTTGACAGAGAAGGACTGGAATTTTTAGGCCCTGGCATCTTTTTTCCTTTTTTCTTGATTTGTAACACCTTTTATGGGAAAAGACACCTGTGCTCTGTGATAGGAGGGAGATTACTTTTCAAGAAGAGGAGAAACAAGCAGTTGCTGTCCGGGCTGCAAGTCTCTAGGACCATTTCTCCCCTCTCCAGCACAGGTTCTAGGAAGTGAGCTTGTGCCTGCCTCGTGCGAATGTGATTCTTCTTTTCTGCCACTCTGCCCCCACCACGCACACACTTGGACGGCTGCTAGCTAGGAGGGGCAGGAAGGGTAGCAGGGAGGGGCTGCTAACGGGCCCTGCCTTTCCAAGGCCGACAGAAGGCGTCCGCCTCTGCCCAGGAGACCGTGCACAGACAGATGGGTCTAGGTCAACGCAGCGAGAGCTGCCCACAGTCCGGAAAAGGGTGGGGCCGGCAGGGACCGGTGAGTGGGGGCAGCGGGAAACGCAGCAGCCGCACTACCCTCTTCCGGGCACCCCTCCCTCGGCCCAGCAGCCTCCTCCGCAGCGCTGCAGGCCGGATGCTTGAGGCTGAAAGGCGACCGCGCAGGGTCACTCCAGGTGTTAGGGCTCAGCTAAGCAATGCTCTCGCGGTGGGGCCCCCGTGGGTGCCCGTAGACAAGAGTTGGAAAAGGGCAAAGCATATGGCCTGAAGTGGGTAAAAAGTCTCGAGAAGGGCGGGGAAGCGAGGGAATCTGCAAGCGGTAGCCGGGACTGAATGGCCAGGGGCGGGGCAGCACCAGCCCTGGGCCGAAGCCCGCCGCAGCGCAGGAGACCGCCTGGTTAGCGGAGCGCGCCTTGGCCACACCGGGTGCCCCGATGTTCTCCTGCCGTGGCCCGAGAGCACAGAGAAATCCAATCTGCGGAAGACCTAATCCGGGCGTGCAGCAGGGGGTGGGCGGGGAGAGTGCAAGATCAGCTCGCAAGTGGCGCGTCCCAGCCGGCGAGCAGCTAGCGGGATCCGCTGTCCCACGATGGGAAGCGAGCTCAGACAGAGGCCCCGGGATGCAGCGGGCCGGCAGGGTGGCTCACCCAGGCAGGTAGTTCTCGCTGGCTCAGGTACAGCGTTTTGGCTGTGAGCCGCTCCTCGTCGTCCAGCAGCTGCCTCGCCGCCCGGAGACTCCGTTCTTTTTCGTCTCGGACCCGGCGCCAGCCCAGATAGAGGGCGAGGCCGAAAACCACGAAACCCACGCTGAGTCCCGCTGCCCCGGCCAGGTACACGGGCACCAGCACCAACAAGCGCCGCGCGAACGAAGTCAGCACCGCCAGCGCCTCACTCCCAGCGCCTGGGCCAGCAGGTGGGAGCCCGGAATCAGGGTCCAGCTTTGCGTGAGCAGCAGGGGGCTGGTCAGAGGGGTCGGAGGGAGCAGAGGGCTGGTCCGTGGGGCTGGGGCGGGGGCTGGGGCTAGAGTCTTCTCCCCGAGAGCGCTCCATCGTGCCACTTCTGAGAGTACTGCCTGATCTGAGACCTCTGGAGGTGGCCTCGCCCGCCGCCAGCTACCCCCTTGTAAACCTTGCGCCCCGGTGTGGGGGAGGGGACCCCCAAGCCACGCCCCCCCGACGGCTTGGGTTGGTCCACGCCGCAGAGACTAAGGTGGAGTCAAAAGGTTGAAACTCCGCCCCTCTACTGCGGGGAATCAGAGGACTTCTGATAGGCAGGACCTCTCTGATTGGACCAGAGTGCCACGGTAGGCGGCCTGAGATGGCGGGAAAGGGCGGAAAGGCGCTAACGTACAACACTTGATTGGTCACAGAGTAAAGGAGGGGTGGTGCACAATTTAAAGAGAGGCGGTACCAAGTGCTCCTCCCACGTGGGTTTGGAAAGCCTGTGGCATGACGTCATGCAGAACTAGACCGCCAATTTCTAGGTTTTAAGGAGCAGGATTTACGAAATGAAGGTTGTGGATAGCCAGGATTCCGCCCTCAACATTCACATGGTTTTGGAAGATTTGGTCTGGGATTTCTTTATGTTCATTTGTCAACTTTCCCTAGTTTTGATACTCCAAGCACATTTCTCATCCATTTTTTTTCCTGGCCCCCTTTACAAAAGGAGATGAAATGACCCTATTTAGAATGTAAACCAACCCTGCCTAAGCCACCCCGTCCCCTACTCCGTGCAGCCTCAACGACAGCCTCAGGAGAAAATTAGAAAATCAGAAAATTACAGAGTTGAACCAAATTGCCTGGGGATGTAGTGAGGGCCCTGGATTCAGTCCTCAGTACCAACAAAACAAAAAACAGCTCCAAAGGGAACGGGGATAGGCTCCACTGTAGTAGAAATTATTACATTTTCCAAGAACTTCTAGGACACTAAGACAAGAGCTCAAGACTAGTAAAAAGCTCAGTTTCTCCTTTGAGTTAGAAGGAAAGTTCTACAGCCAGGCGTAGAAATAATGCAGTTCTACACATTACTGTATGGCTTTAGGAAGGAAAAAGTGTTGGGTATACTGATGACTATTGTTACTAGTTTACTGGATTTTCTTACATGTACGTGGAAACTAGATGAACTAGAAGCTGAGGGGCTGGTTGGCCACAGAACATCTTTTGCAGTATACGTCTTACTTTGTTATTCCGTCAAACACAGGGGGAAGCTAGGGTGGGTTATGGGGAAGGACTAGGTTGGTAGCTACTAAGTCTTATCTGACACTGCAGGGCATAGATTTCATCAGGCTGTTTCATCAAAGCCATTTAAAACCTGTTTGTGAGCTCAGTCGTGGTGCCACACATACAGCACTTGGAAGGATGAGGCAGGACTGCTGAGTTGGAGGCCAGCCTGGGCTGAATAGTAAGACCCTGACTCAAACCAAAAAAATAAACCAGTTTCTGCCCAGTCTCCTGCCCTTGCGGCTTTGAATATCCTCTTGTCTGCTTTTCTGGGGCTACCAGTATTTTGGAATGGTTCATTCAGTGTGCATGACTCTAAAAGAATATTTTTGTCTCTACTGCCTGTTTTCTCCATATTCTCAGAGATGAGCAACAAGAAAAGTGAAACAAGGGGCTTGAAGATGTCAGTGATCTGTTTGGCAACTGATATGGCAGAACTACAGTGAAAAATAAATCCTTTAAAAAGCTCTGTATATGCTAGCCAGGCATGGTGGTACATGCTTGTAATCCCAGCACTTGGGAGGCTAAGGCAGGAGGATCATTGTGAGTTCAAGACCACCCTGGGCTACATAGTAAGCTCAAGGCCAGTTTGAACTGCATAATGAGACCTTGTCTAACAAAGAAAGACAGACAGAAAGAAAAATAACTGAAATTTGCAAAGCACTAGAATAAGGGAAGTTTCCAGGGCTGAGGGGATTGACAAGGTGACATGTGGAGCCTCCACCTTTCTTCACCTCATCCGGGTCATCAGACGCTCCTACTTTACACTTTGTATAGACTGGGACACAGGAGCCACAGGGTCAGCAGCTGCACTGCAGTCAGAACAAATAAACAGGGTGGAGCTCCACCTGTAACAATTTTTGCTCTCCAGGTGCCCTCTGGTGGCAATAAGCGGTAAATGAGCAACAGGAAGTTTTATAGGGTGGGGCTTAAGTGAGGGGAGAGAGTGGAGAGTATCCCCACTTCCTGGACACGTACGTGTGTGTGTGTGTCTGTCTGTCTGTCTGTCTGTCTGTCTGTCTGTCTGTCTGTCTGTCTGTCTGCCTGTCTGCCTGCCTGCCTGGTATGGAGAACTGAACCCAGGGCTGAGCTACAGAGACAAGGGTCTCATAGGGTGTCATTAAATTGCTAAATTACCCAGGCTGGGCTCAAACTGGTGATCTTCATGCCTCAGCCTTCCTAGTGCTGGGATTACAGGTTTGCACCATCACTCCCAGCCTGGGACTTGAAATCCTATATGAAACCATAATTGTCTTCTGGGGGACGTGGAGGTCAGATGCACAATTCTGGTCTCAGTCCATTTACAAGAATGGAAAGGATTAGGGGCCAGGGAGATGGCTCAGTGGAATAAGTGCTTCCCTGGCAAGCACAAGGGCCTGAGTTCAATCCCCAGTTCTGCAAAAAAAAAAAAAAAAAGAATGGAAAGGGCAGTTGGCGTGGCAGTGCATGCTTATAAGCCCAGAATTTGGGAGGCTGAGGCAGGAGTATCACTGTAAGTTTGAGGTTAGCCTGGACTACATAGTGAATTCAAGACCAGAGTGAACTACATAGGGAGACCCTGTCTCAAAAAGCCTAAATAATAAACATCACAACCATGTAGCTTGGAATGTAACTCAGTGTGAAGGCCCTGGGTTCAATAATCAGTACACAAACATACACACACAAACTCCCATTGTTGGTTAGCTCTGTCACTTTTTTTTTTTTTTTTTGTACTGAGAATTGAACTCAGGACCTTGCGCTTGCTAGGCAGCAGATGCTGTGCCACTGAGCTATATCCCTGGTCCTTTTTGTTACTTTTGTTTTTTGAGACAGGGTCTCATTATTTAGCCCAGACTAGTGTGGAAATCTATCCTGCCATCTCAGCCTCCCAAAGTGCTGGAATTACTTACAGGTGTGCTATGCCCAGCCTCAGAACTTTTTTTTTTTTTTCTTAATAAATTTTATTTACGCGTGTGTGGGGGCAGCTCAGCCCACCAGGGGGCGGGGCTGGCTGGCGTGTGGTGCTGGGGGATTGAACCGTGGTCCCTGTGCTTTAAGCTTGTTCTAAGTAGGTGCTTTAGACCACTGAGCCATCTCACCAGCCCCCCTCAGAACTTTCTTATGCAAGAATATAGTCAAAATGAATTACTACTTTAAAAAAAAAATACTATGCCTATATCTTACTAGTTATAGAATTCTTGGCAGATAACACCAGTAATTTTTGTGTAGGGGTGGATGGGAGGTGGATTTGGGAACTGAACCCAGAGAATTTTACTGAGCTATATTCCTAGCCTTTTTATATTATTGGGTTGTTTTTCCCCATACCAGGGATCAAACTCAGGACCTTGTGCTTTCCAAGCAGGTGTTTATGCCACTGAGTTATTTCCCCAGTCCATGGAGATAGGGTCTTGCAAAAATTGCTGACCCCAAATTTACAGTCCTCCTGCCTCAGCCCTGGAGTAGCTGGGGATTACAGGTACATGCTACTGCAACCAGCACAGGTAGATGTTTTCATTTTGTTTGGTAGTACTGGGGGTTGAACCCAGGGCCTTTGGACTGAGCTACATTCCAACCCTTAATTTTTGAAAAAGGGTCTTGCTAAATTTGCCCAGGCTGGACTTCAATTTGTAACCTTTCCAGAGTGCTAGGGTTACAAGCGTGGGCCACCATGCCTGGCTCATTTTATATTTTTTCCCTGACCTTTGCAAATATTTATTTCCTCTGAGGATGTGCCCTGTTTTTCTTTGCTTTGTTCTGAGACAGGGTTTTGTTATTCAGTTCAGAATGGCTGGTGAACTTGAAGCAATCCTCCTGCCTCAGCTTCCTGAGTGGTAGGAATGCAGGTGTGGGTGACCACACTCAGCAGGTTCACTGCTTTTGAAGCGCAGCAATACCAGGTGGAGCAAGGTCCTGTTCCATCTCCCTGCTCCAGTGTCCATTTGTTATGCGGAGAGAGAATATGATACTGATAAGAGGGACTATACTTGGGACTGGCCAGATAGCTCAGCAGACTAAAGTGCCCTCTGAGGCAGAACTATCCCCGGGGTGCCGTGCTGGTCCCGTGCCCAAGGCACACTGAGACAGCTTAGACTGGGCATGGTGGTGCATACCTGTAATCCCAGCTCTTGGGAGGCTGAAAACAGGAGAATCACTACAAGTCCAATCTGTGTAGTGAGACCTTGTAGACCCTGTCCTAAATTTGTAACAAAAAGAGGAACTATATTTGATCTTAGTCAAAAAGTTAAGAAGTGAGTCAGATAAAGTTTGCTCTCTCCAACGCAAAATGGATATAATAAAGAGTACCCACTGGGTCAATAAAATTTTGTACATAAAGAGCCTAAAATAAGGGGCCAGGGAGATGGCTCAGTAGGATAAGCGCTTGACTGACAAACGCAAGGATCTGATCCCCGGTTCTGCCCCCCCCCCAAAAAAAAAAAAAAGTGCTTTAAAAAAAAAAAAAGCCTAAAATGGGCAGGCGTGGTGGCCACATGGAAAGTTCAGATGGGGGAATCACAAGTTTGAGGAGACCATGGGCAGTTTAATGAGACCTAGTTTCAAACTAAAAATTAAGGGCCAAGAATGTATCTCATGGGGCCAGGGAAGATAGCTCAGTGCCATAACTGCCTGCCTGGCAAGCACAAAGTCCCGAGTTCAATTCCTGGTACAAAAAAAAAAAAAAAAAAAAAGAGCTGGTAATATAGTTCTGTGGTAGAGCACTTGGCTGGCATGTACAAAGCCCTAGATTAAATCTCCACTACTGCAAATTTAAAAGAAAATGTGTCCTACACAGATCCGCAGCTTATCTTAAGCTTGAGTAGGTCAGTTCTTGTTCTAGAATTCCTGTTATTTCCAGGGCAGCAACACAGGACCTTCTCCCATTGAACAGCATTTGAGGACATTTACTGGATTTCCTTTCAGCCTTCTTTAACTAGTTTTTTTTTTTTTTTTTTTTTTAAACTGCTCTCTAGTTTGTCAATGACCCTGTTTAAAAAATTACCTTTAGAAGAATACATAATACTTAGGAGTTCCACTTAGACGGAACCTAACTACAACTGCAGAACCTAACTAGAACTGCATTATTCCCAATCCTCCTCCCCTCCCTTCTTCTTTTTTGAGATATGGTCTTGCTGTGTGTGTGTGACAGAGATCAAATCCAGGGCCTCATGAATGCCAGGTGAATGTTCTACCATAAAGTGACATCCACAGCCCAAGATTTAGTTTTTCTCTTTTACAAGGTCTTGCTGTGCAGTTCAGACTGGCCTTGAGCTCACTTTGCAGCCCATTCTGGTCTTGAACTCACAACAGTCCTTCTGCCTCAGCCTCCTGAGTGCTGGGATTACAGGCATGCGCCACCAAGCCTGGCTCCAAGATTTTAATTTTCGTAGTTAATGGAAGTCTAGGCTGTTCTCATGGGATTATTACTAATGTAGATATCCAGTTACTCAGTCAAGCTCAAGGCTTTATCCTTAAGCAGTATTTCTAGCACAGGGACCTAATATTTTATTCTACATTAGACATTTTGAATAGTTGTGGGGTTTTTTTGTTTGTTTGTTTGTTTTGTTTTGTCATGTTGAGACTTATTTCCTTATTTTGCAGTGCTGGGAATCAAATCTAGGTGCTCCACTACTGGCCCTTAAATGGATTATTAGTACTTGTATCCAAAGTGGCTCTCTTTTTAAATAAGATATAGACCATGGGCAAACCACTAGATATTTCCCTGAAGCACTAATGAACGTTCACTAGACACATATGTTCAGGTTTAGCCCACCAAACTTTCCTATTAACGGACCCATTATCTTTTCCTTATCTGCAGTGAGGAGAGGCAAGCAGCTCCTGACATCTGGGACCAGCCAGCCAGGTTCAGCCTTGTTACGGCTAACCAGGTGCTCATAGCTTGCCAGTCTCAAAAAGCTTTCCCTTTTAATTTTTTGCTTTTTGCCTGTAATCCCAGCTCTTAGGAGGCTGTAAACAGGTGGATTACTACAAGTATGATCTAGTAGTAAGATCCTGAACACCCTGTAGATCCTTCCCTAAAATACAAAAATAGTAACAATAATTTTTTGCTTTTAAAACAGGGTCTAGGGGCCAGGGAGATGGCTCAGTGACTTAAGCGCTTCCCTGGCAAGCGCAAGGGTCTGAGTTCAATCCCCGGTTCCACAAAAAGAAAAAAGAAAACAGAAAACAAGGTCTCATAATGTCGTTCTGGCTGTCCTTGAACTCCCTATGTATCCCAGGCTGGCCTCAAACTTGTGATCCTTCTAGCTCAGCCTCCCAAGCCTTGGAATTATAGACATGCACCACACCTGGCAAAAGAAAAAAGAAAAAGAAAAACAAACACTAGTGGGCTGTGGATAAAGCTCAGTGGCATAAGTGCCCACCTGGCAAGCGCAAGGTCCAATACATAGTTCAATCCCCAATACAAAAAAAACCAAACGCTAGTATCTAACAAAATTCATTCAATGACCAGGATCAAGTGAGACAAAAAAGAAGAAAAAATCCAAAAACCCTCAAGATCACTTCACATTTTAAGATTTTAAGCACAGAACAAGGTCATTGTGCAAATCACAAAACAGCAAACATTTGCCTTTCCCATAACCAGTGACTACTGCTTCATAGCAACTGCAGCTCTAACTTCACTCATCTTAATTTTTTTAGATGTAACATACTCCATTATACAACGATCCGCTTCCCGTAACAGCATCCAATCCAGAGGAACACACACTTCCTCGAACCTTCCCCGAAATCACTTAAGCTGAGTCCAAGCCCCCTCAGGCCCCTCTCAGTGTCCTCTTGCTGGGACACACCAGGATTCCCAGTGGCGTGCTTTTCCCTTCACTGCAATGATCATTAAACCAAACTTGGTCAAATACGGGTACCGTATATTCCTGGTGAGGGACTGCATTAATATAAGACATACAATGTCTATGGTTTCCAAATTCACCTCTTTGGAGTTACTTGGCAGGAAAGAAAGTTAAGATTTGATAGAGAAGAACTCATGTTGCTATCTATAATCATATTCCTCTCTAAATTCTCAACACAAACCATGTCTTTTAATCCAGAATTATGCCAGGAAATGAATATTAAACTTAATCAATGTGTTGTTTTTAAATACATAAATATTTGCCCATCTTTTGTCTGTAGGCACTGTCTCTTTTGTACGAGTCTTCCTGTGTTGCCCATACTGGCCCCAAACTCCTGAGCTCAGGTAATCTCTGCTCAAGCTGAGGAACTAGCTGGAATTATACATGCATGTACCACACCTGGCTTCTCTTCCCCCAGCAACAGGCCTGATCTAGCCCACCAACTTCAGCCATTGGTTTACACAACCAGGGAGATCAGACAAAGGTAGCAGGAGATACAACACAGAAGCACAAATCAGGGTCACTTTCTCTACCCCCCAAAACTACTGTCTCATTGCTGTTTCCCCTGATAAACCCAGGCTGTTTCTCCTTTCTCGACCATGAGCTGAGTCGTCACTGAACTGTGGCTACTAAAGCCCCTAGCCTTAACAACTCCTACATGGACTCAAAACCCTTAGTCCACAGTGAAGACAGGGAGAAGGAATAAAACCCTGAAGCTTGTGTCCTCAGATCTTCCTCTTCTCAGCACCTCCTAAACCTTCAAAGTTGACAGCATTGGGCACTGAAGAAGGGACATTAACTGCCATCAACAGCTCAGAGAAGCAACTGCCACCTGTCCTGCTGTAGGATCTGTCAACCACACAACAGTTCATCTCCATTTTTCAGCACATGTACCCTTAGTACCTGCCCCCCTAAATGACCCTAGGAGCCCTGGTTACTAAGGCAACCTGGGAATAGCACAGACCAGAAACAGATGGGACTATTTTTAAACTAGACTAGGTGGCTGCAGTGCTTTTACCTCACAAAGTACCTTCCCAAAATCCCCCATCTGGTCTTTTTTTTTTTTTTTTTTTTTTGGCATGGTCTTGCTGGCCTCGAACTCAGTGTGTAGCCCAGGCCGGCCTCCAACTCACACTGATTCTCCTGCCTTAGCCCCGAGAGCTGGGATTATAGACATGCACCGCCATGCCCGGCTTCCTATCTAGTTTGTTTTTTTTTTTTGTGGAACTGGGGATTGAACTCAGGCCCTTGTGCTTTCCAGGCAAGCACTTATTCTACTGAACTATCTCCCTGGCCCCTCTAGTTTCGTTCTGGGTTCTACTCTCCATCAGTCTTACCCAAGCTACATGTATGGGGTTTCACTCCATTTTGGCATGAGATCTACTTTATGCTCCCATCTTCCACACACAGTATCTAAGCAAGTTTGCACTGCCTCCATTTGTTAAAAATAATTCTTTTATTTCTTTGGAAAGTAGTGGGCCCTGCCCTACAGATTTCCAGGCTAAGCTAGGTAAATGAATGCCCCTCTAGTCTTCAGGCTGGAGTACTATGGTCCCGGCCTTCCCGAGGGCTCCAGAGCAGTTACTGTATTATCCAACCCAAGTGGGCCCCAAGTGATTTGAAGATGTCTGAGACCTCTCTCCTGGCTACCCACTTCTCAATCTTTCCTGACTCTTTCTTGGTGGGCATTTTTTTTCTTCCAAAATCAGTGCCACAACTTGTGCTGTTCTCAAGAAAGGACAAGACCAGGGAGGTTCCCAACTTCCCATAAAACGCAGGCCCTCAGTCAGTCCTCCCTCTCATAGCTTCAGTCTGTACCCCTATGCAAGCCCCCTCAAGTTAGGCATGAAGACATGAGGCCCTCTTAAAAGGGAGGTGAGAGAACATAACAGCCCAACCCCACCTCAAGAAATACTCCTCAGAAGCACACTCCTTATTGTCTCTCATCCTGGTTCTTGAGAGAGCCCTTCAGGCATGACCCAGGAGGACTAAGGGCGGGGTAGGGGCCCCTAGACCCAGCCCTGAGAGGCCATACCAGGGGAGTGTCCATTAGCCTGATCAGTGTGGCATGGCAGTGATGCGCATGCTCTGGGAAGCAATGGGGTAAGTCACCATAGGAGTGGTGGTATGGCTCATTGTGATTCCTGCCAAGGGTTGGGCCATCGATACAGCCACTGGAGCCACAGGAGCCACAGATACAGCCACAGGAGCCATGGAGACAGGTGGAGGTGCCATTCCCTGGGCGATTGTTTGTGCCAGAGCAGCTGACAATGGCGCAATCTCTGGGTTCAAGTGTGGGGGTGGGGGCGGTGGGGCAGCAGGAGGAGCAGCATTAGTTGGGGGAGCAGCTGGAGCTCCAGCAGGGGCCACCAGTTCTTGCTGGGACACAGGACGGGGCTGTAGGGCCTGGCTGCTGAGAGTAGTGTGAGTCTGGGCAATGCCATGGTTAAAAGTGGCAACAGTGCCCACAGTGGGTGCCAGAGTCTGCTCAGTTGCTGGTGCAGTGGAGCTAAGGGTCATGACCTTGGCTTGATTTCGGAACTGGGCATTCTGCTCCAGAAGTACCTCATTGGTGGCTAACAAGTTGCTGACCTGCTTCTTTAACTCCTCCACGCGCTTCCTGAGCATTGCATTCTCCTCCTCTAGCAGTCTGCACTCTACCCCTCGGGGTGGAGCCAAGCTATATTCATATGATTCAAAGTGAGGGCCATCAGGAGGGCAACAGCCACCTCGCCGACGCTTGGGGCCTGGCTCATGGTCCTCAAAGCCCCTGTCAGGAAGGTCATAGATATCATAGAGATCATGACGACGTCCTGGAGGTAGGGAGCCTGTTGAGCCCCCACCACCAGTGCCTCCTCCACCCCGAGCATCAAACTCAAAATCCCGCTGCAGGTGACGGAACTTGCACTTGGCTCCTCTCTGACAGTCGCCCTTGAGGAAGTCCCGGCAGATAGGAACCTCTTCCTTGCCATTTGGTAGATCAGCTGGTGAAAGGCCCAGGCCAGCTGCCACTTTCTGCCTCAACCGAGGGGGAAGCTCTCCTGTCTTCTTATAGCCATCTTCATCCTCCTTCGAGCCATGGATGAAACGGCAGTTTGGGCGGCTACACTCCTTGTTCTGGAAGTCATGGCAGAAGATGAATTCATTTTTGCTTACCCCTAAGTTGGACACTTCACTCATGTCTGGGTGGCGATATCGACAGCGCTTGCCTCGCTTGCACACATTCCTTAGGAAGTCTCTACAGATGGCATCTGAGCTGGCTGTACCACTGCCTGCCCCTGCGCCACTGGCCTCTTCACTGCCACCACCGCCAGGGCCTCCACCATTGCTCCCGGTGCCGTTGGCATAGCCGTCCCGGTCAGGCATCCTGGTCCCCCCCCTACTCGGGGCCTTCTTCCTTTTCTTGCCACTCTTGGTGACTGCTGAAAAAGAGAACTGTGTGAACTGGGAGTCCTCCAGAAAGATCCCACACTGCTTGACTAGAGAACAGGCAGTCCAGCAAGGCAATGGCCTTGGAAATGGAGACTCTAAGGGACGAGGATGCCGGCTGGGCTGGGCGACTTGACCCAAGTCCCGCCCAGGCCTTCACGCACCTGGTCTTGGTTAGAATGATTCACACTTGCTAGCTGGTGGAGGGAGGGAGTTGGGAAGGAGCCATTTCATTTCACAAATGATGATAGGCTACGGGGAGAGACAGAAGTGTTGAATTTTATCTTCCCTTCTGAGATGACCTTATTAAAGTAGTGGAAGTGAAACTAACACTACTGCCAGTGTCTGACAGGCTGGGAGGAGACTGCAAAAAAGTGCCTAAGATGGACTGCTTGGCTGCTATGACTTGTGAATGATGGGACACTGATAACAAAATTTCTCTTAAGCTCTTTTCTGTGAAATCTTAGGGAAGGCTCTGTATATATAAGAACTCTAGAACCCAAGGAATTGTAGGTGAAGAGAACCGGCTTGGGCCCAGTCTCCAAACCTATCATTTTTAACTATTTTCTCCTAGCCCACTACAACTCTTAATCCCAGGGAAATCTGGCTCCTCCATACTAGGCAGGAGTTCCAAGTATGGAATTTCTTCTAGACCCCCCAGGACAAAACCATTTGTGGCAAGGTCAAGATGGCAACGAGTTAACATCACAGAAGTAAGTGGCTGCTCTAGCCCCATTCCCCACCCCCTTCTTGCCCTTCCATGGGAAGATCCCACTGACATCAAACCACACCATTCCTTACCTCATAAAGATCTTCTTTATTTATAGACTCTATAAAAGCTTTTTAAATCTCCTGTTTCCCAAGAGAGCTCTGGAATGTCAGTCCACTGTCCTAGTTCTAGCCCTCCCCTCTCTCCACCTCCAATAAAGCTTCGGAGTCCTCAATACCACGTGTCTGACTTCCTAAGCCTTTCCTAAGCAGTGTTCAGGCGCCCCCTGTTGTTCAAACAGAAGAAACGCCTAATTATTTTTCCTTAAACGTAAGGAATTCTTTCCCATTTCTTTGGCCTTCACTTACTCTACACTGCTCCTTGCCTTGATTTTATGTTTTTTCGTTTGTTTTGATTGTAGGGCCTGGCTATTTACTCCGGACTGGATTTTGAACTTGCTATGTAGCTCAGGTTGGTCTCAAATGTGCAATCCTCCTACCTCAGCCTCCCAAATGCTGGGATTACAGTGTAAGTAACCATGCCTGACTTTTGAGTGTACATCTTCCTAAAATGACCCACCGGATCAAAGGCCAAAGAGCTGCATAATGAGGTCCTCTTCCTCCAAAAGGAGGCAACCCAGAATAACAGAAACAATAAAAAGAAGTGCTATCAGAAGACATAAACTTACGGTAAAGAATAAATGTCATCTATCCAAGCCAGTCCCAAATTGCAAGTCCCACCAGAAGCAGATAATTGGGCGTGATACTCCTCCCCAACCAATTACCCCAGAGTTGATACCTGAGGTAGCTCAGGTGAAGTCCCGGGCTCCTGTGGGTCTCCACCTCCACATCACTGCTGGGTTCTAAATAGGGGAGGGAAAAAGAGAAACACCTGGGTGGGATAAGAGGCAAGTGTGGAGGACTGAGGTTGTTGTCATAAATAACAATGAAATCTGATAAAACAGCAAAAAAAAAAAAAAAAATTGAATTTAAGGATTTTCTTAAAGGTTCAAAATGAACTTCACCTGTCGAAAGAAGTAATCGGATTTGTAAAGGCTCATAGAATGGGTTGGAAAACTAGCCCTCAAGGGACAGAGGGTGGGGGAAGACCTGCCTCAAGATGAAGGAGGTTATCGGGCTCAGAGTCTGGCCTAAAGAACCACGAACACTAAATGGAGAGAAGAGCAGCAACTGACAGTGCAGTGGTATGGCAGTTAATACTTGGGGACGGTGATTATGACTCTTTCCAACAACCTAGACTTTTCGCAAAGTCCTAGCAAATTCTCGAAGCAAGACTTCTTCAGTGCGGTGTCGCCAGCACACAGCCATGGGCCAAGCGAATATTCACTAAGGAAGCAGAAAGTGAAGCGGGGAAAGGAAGGTCTGGATGACATCAAGCTCAGGGGATGGGCAGGGCCGTGACGTCACGGAGCTGGCGTTTGCTCGCGAAGCGGGGGGTCACTCAGAAAAAAGAGGGTCGGTCTTGGGGTGTGAGGCAGAGCCAAGCTCGGTTCTGGGGGGCCTCGTGTGGCTCGGCAGAGCCCTGCCGCTAGGCCGGCCCCGACTCCTCCCCTCCGGGCGCGGCCTCCACCTAAGTCTCCCGCCTCCCTCACCTGCCGCCGCCGCCGTAGTTGCTGCTGCCGCCTGCCGGTCCTCTAGCTTCGACAAAGAGCCGCCCACCCTGTGGCCCTTCCGCTTCCTGCGGAAGAAGCGACACTCTAGCTGTCAGACCCGGAACTACACTCTATGACACGAACGGTGGTACAGGAGCAGGAAGTTCCCAGCAATCCTTGCGTGTCGCCATAGCAACCTGACCTAACAGGACGGCGAAGAACTCCCCTGGTGGGCGCTCCACTTTATAGCCTTTCCTAAACGTAGGGGGCGGTACCAATAACTGCCTTAAACTTGCCCGCAAGCCTAAGGACCTACTGCTAGGTGAACAAGACATCTTTCTCAGTGCCAACCCGAGATAATTAGGTCATACACCCAGACTGTACCTAATGTGGCTTTTTCCCGCTGCGGAGTAGCGATACGGCACAAATTACAGAGTCCCCATTCAATGTAATTGTAAAAAAAACACGTTAACAAATACAATTTGATTCTTCAGCTAACACAGAAGAGATGATTTATTGTACACACTTTACACTCAGCCAAAAGAGAGAACAGTAGTAGTCCAGAATGCCACAGGTCTGGGGCAAAAAAACCAGGAGACTGCTTAGTTGGAGCCAGGTGATCTTTGAGGTGGTGTTGGCGATCAGATGGTAATGAAGTTCTAATCCAGCACGCAGTCCAATACTTGCATGAGCGTTGTCAGTCTCCAGCGTTCTTTCTGTTCTTTTGGCCTCCATGGGTGTACGAACTATTTTACTTGGACCTCTGTCTCATCTTTCTTCTTTTACGCTTCAGCCTGAAAAGGAGACACGCAATACAACTACTACCCAGGGTATTTTTATTTCCAACTTAAACGTGCATTTAACTACATAGGGAAAAATTGTAACATACATTACAATTTTGTTCCGTGTTCAATCACTGACTGTGCCCAAGCAATAAATAAGTTTTCCCGTAAAGTTGTTTTTTTTTTTTTTTTTTTTTTTTGCGGTTCCGGGGATTGAATTCAGGTCCCTGCGCTTGCCAGGCAAGAACTTATTCTACCGAGCTATCTCCCCGGCCCTACCGTAAAGTTTTTAAGATTTCCAAACCAAACAACTTGTCCTAGGGTGCAATCACCCACCCCCACACCGTGGTAGTTTTAAACATACCTGCGCATTCGCTTCTTCCTCCACTAGCGATCCGACCACAGGAAGAGAATAGAAAAGATTACTTTCAGTAGCAGATTGCCTATGGCTATAAAGTGTACTATTTAGAACCAAGAACCGGACAGGTCCTTAAGTACGAAGGCTAGCAGTCACCGCCCCGACACTAAACGCCAAATCTGCCGGGTTTTTCTCCAAGCTTTTCTCTCCTCCAGAACTTAACTGATACTTCCCTCTGATTTTCACCCGAAGTATGCTTCCTTTCCCCACCACTTCTTGGGAATGCTTGAGAACCCAGTGACTGGAAACCATGGCGGACTCTTCTCGCCTGGATCTCCTTCCTCACCAACGCCTACCTCCCAAGCTCGTTACCGAACGCTCACCTTGGCTCTCATGGCGCAGAGGTTCCTGCCGGGAAAGACAAAGACATTACAGTTAGTATCTTACAGTGATGGCTAATGTGGAGGCCAGATGTTAATGGATTGTACGGGGAACGCGAATACAAGGACCAGAAACACCTCACCTAAGAAGATGGCGTTAAAGTCGAGAGAGCACCAAAGCCCCGCCTACGGGTTTTAATGGCGCGCTCGGTGTCGTCATTTCCGACCCGCCCCCGGGGGGTGTGGCTGCCGAGGAGCGCGGCAATGGCTTTGTGCAGCTGTCTGCTGCCGCATAAGTGGTTGAGCGTTTATTTCAGAAAACAATACTATTTTGAGTTCTAGTTACTAACACTCCCCATTTTTATTAACGAGGACATCGTATACATTTCTGTATATTTCCAGTATGGGACAGAAAGAGGAAAAGGCCAGTGGTTCCGCTTTCCCTCATTGGTTCCTGGGAGTTGAAGTTTCTTAACGAAGTCTTCCATTTTATTATGAGTAGGTGCTGAATTTGTTATGCATAGATGCGGACTGTACAAATTTACTTCACTGCTTTGCCTTATTTATTTATTTTTATTTATTTTGGCAGAACCGGGGATTGAACTCAGGCCCTTGCGCTTGCCAGGGAAGCGCTTATTCCACTGAGCCATCTCCCCGGCCCCATTGCTTTATTTTTTTAAGCTAAACTTACAGGAAATGCGATCTTGGAATTTTCCAAGATCCTAAGATTCCAGAACATGGAAGGACTTAAAGTGGGAAGTAAAGAAAGATGTAATACTGCAAAAAGAAACTTTTTCCCCTAAAAGTCCGGGAATAAAATAACCAAAATGGTCTTTCTCCACAATGCCTGAAACAGAATGTTGCCAGCGTTTCCTGCTCACAAGTATTTTACTGAAAATACTACGATGTTTCTCTATAACTAAAGGTGAAAATTAAACCCAAGCAGAGAGGGGAAAGATGCAAGATTGGTTAAATGTTCTGTAGGGAAAGTATGACACTTGGTTTTAAAATAAAGAATTTTTTAGTCTCTTGATAGTATCAGATGAGAACCACAGTAAAGCGGATCCCCAGAGCCTGGGCTACAGAAAATTTAAGGCCAAATCTGGCGTAGTGGTGCATGTCTATAATCCCAGCATTTAGGATGCAGAGGCAGGAGGATCACCCAAATGTTCAAGGCCAGCCTGAACTACACAGTAAATTCTAGGTCAGCCTAAACTACAGAATGAGTCCATATTTCAAAAACAAATAAATAAGAAAACTTAATGCTAAAAAAAGAACCTTCACTGGGCATGGTGGCACACACATGTAATTACAGTGCTTGGGAGGCTGAGGCAAGAGGATCTTGCAAGTTCAAGACCAGCCTGGGTTACAAAGTGAGCTCAAGGCCAGCCTGAACTGCATAGTGAGACCCTATCTCAAACAAGAAAAACAAACAACGAAAAAGCAAAACTTTAAGTATAGAAGATCTTTATATTTTATTTATTTATTATTATTTTTTTTTTCCTGCGGAATCAGGGATTGAACTCAGACCTTTGCACTTGCTAGGGAAGTGCTTATTCCACTGAGCCATCTCCCCAGCCCCAAAGTCTATCAGGGTTGCTTGCTTTTTGCCCTTGCACTTGCAGGAAAGTGCTTATTCCACTGAGCCATCTCTCCGGCCTCTATCTTTATGTTTTATAGGCTGGCCTTGACTTCTTTTTTTCTGAGACAATGTTTTGCTATGCAGTTCAGGCTGGCCTTAAACTCACAAGGATCCTCCTGCCTCAGGCTTCCGAGTGCTGAGATTACAGGTGTGAGCCACCACATCCAGCTTTTTTATTTTAATATTTATTTATTTATTTATTTTCAAAATTTTATTGATAAACATAGCAATAAGGATTTTTTTTTTTTTTTTTGCTCCAAATGTCCTCAGGGGTGGTTTGGCTGGCTGGAGTGTTGTGGGGATCGAACTACAGCAACCTGAGGCTGAAAGCTTTGCCGAAGCAACCACTTAAAAGAACTGAGCTAGGGCCAGGCCCCTTATTTATTTTTT